ATATATATATATATATATATATATATATATATATATATGATTGTGTTTTCAGTTGATTTGATTTCTTCCACAGTTGTTGCTATAGCTTCATTCATGAGTATGATCATCAAGTTACTCTATTATAGATGCAAATATATAAATTTAGGCATGCGTGTGTGTATGTGTGGCCACTCTGAATTTTTTTATTTAGTATATATATATATTTTTTGGTAAGGAAGTATATATATTAATATCTTAGCATAATACATATGCACGACCACATGTGCAACCATCTATATATATAGCAATAAACATTTGATTACGTTAGTTACTTATTATAATTTAAGGTTTTAATGTGCATATATATGGAAAGATGGATCGGTTCACTTCATTCTCTGGTGATAAGAACATTTAGGCATGCTCTCTTCTCTTTTTCTTTTATTCCCTCCTTTTCGTGCATAAAAAGGCTAAAAAAGATTTCGTTAATTAATTATATACACATAGATTTTTTCTATATATACGATGATCTTGCTTAGGGTTTTATTTTACATGTGTTGCATAATGTGGGAAACACACCCTGCCGTCTCTTTTTACATTATAGTTCCTTTAACAATGATTGTAAAGATTGTATGATATGAATATCGCATTCAGTTTTTTCAAACTATTCTCCTACTAACCATCATTAATTAATTATAATATAACCAGAAGATTAGTTTAAAACTAAAAAACAAAAGGGGGTTCATTTCATGGGAATCACACCCTATGTGTATATAAAGCATAAGCTACTGATAGCCTATAATGCCTTCCATCAACTTGATAATTAATATATATTAATTAATGGGATTTTGGCATAAAAAGACTGACCAAGATTTTGCATGGTGTATCAATTGATTCAGTTGATTTTAGGGTTACAAACCTTAGAATCATGCCCTCTAATGGCATTGGCAACCCACTACGATTGTTCCCCCAGCAAGCCTTGCAAACTCAGATTCTATATGCCTTAATATAAATATAATCCATGAGTTCGATTTTGTTTTAATTTTTTGCCTTTGGGGATCAAAAGAAAGAATATTGAATAATTTATATTAAAATATTTATCACGACTAGAAAAAAAATAGATGGATACTAAACCTAGTTGACAAATAAATATGGTGGGTTTTTTTAAAAAAAAAAATTTTCAATGTTATTTGTATTATGTATCAAAATCAAGATTGTCTGTTACATCCGATGTGGACTCTATACAAAACTCAAAGAATTCTCATACTCAAAAGGGCAAAATGTGAGGCTAGCAGCGACTACAGAGGATTATGTACATGCGGTTTGAAGTCAAAAAATACCAATTCTGCAGTAAAGAACATCTATCAGATGAGTCGTCGATTCTCCTTGCCAGAAGCACTTATCGGATGTAGCGGCCTAGATCGCCGCACAAAGTTTTCACCTGTTTTGACTCTCGATCCGGAACCCTCGGTTGTTGCGTTCTTGCCATAGCATATGGACAGCAACATGAATAATCAGCTTCACTATAGTCCGTCTACTCCTGGTGTTGTCATTACGTGGCAGATGCAACCAAGTAATACAAGAGTATAAATCTAAGGGAGGGGACGACCAGCAACAACGGGCAAAGGTAGGTCATAACCTCGAACTGTAGGCGCGTTCAAAAAATAAGTGTTTATTCTCTCCACATAGGCAGCAGTTGACGTCGATGTTCGGGTTCCATCGAGCGATCCTGTCTTTAGTGGAAAACTTGTTCTGTCGTAGCATGAAGGATAGCCGCGGAACAGACCCCTTGAGAGTCCATGATAAAATATACTATGATTAATGAGATAACGTGTAGTTTGAATCTTAAACAAAAAGAAATCTTATTTACACGTTATTTTAAACTTTGTCCAACAAAAAACACACACACTCCATAATTAAATAAACGTTATGAATGAATGAAATTCCAAGTATTTCAATTATCAGAAAAGCATCACCCATTACATCATGAGACATGAGGTAATCAATGTTTCAAATTCATCGGTCCTTCAAATGTGTACATAGCCTCCTATATATAGTGGGGGAATGGGACACGTGCCCCCATATAATTAATAAAAAAATGTTAATTTCTTTATAAGTTTTATAAAATTATAAAAGGATATTGATAAATGTCCCCAACGAAATTATGCTTATTCATATTATACATATATTATTATTGCCCCATATGAAAAATAGTTTTGGATCCGCCACTATATATATACACACACATATAATATAATAATGGAGTAATTAATAGTGTTTGAGCTTACAAAATGCAATGGATTTTAACTTTCAGTATCCACGGTCAAATGATGCATATGGGCTTTAAGTAGGCTAGACTTAAAAGCCCAATACAGCCCAATTAAATGCTGAGCCCAATCTCTGAATGCAAGTTTTGGACTTTTCGAGTCTATGTTGGTAAAATCCAGAAAAAAATTATAAAAGTTTGGTTGCCGCTTGAGTTTTTTCCATCGCGGAACTGGGGGAAAAATTTTATAGGATTTTCTCGGGAAAGTAAGGTGAGAAAGGAATACCTTCGATGGTTTCGTTCGAGAGATTCAGTGTGTGGAACTCGACCAGCTTCCTTGGAGCCGTTTGCTTGGGAATCCGAAGCAGATTGAGATCAAATCAGAGCCCAGCAGAAGTTTCAGAAGAGCCAGGGTTTGTCTTCTTCACCCATAAACCCTAAACCCAAAATTTAATCCCTTTCCTTCTCTCTGAATTTAATTGCGTATATATTTAGACATTTAAGTCTCTCTCTCTACTTGGGTTGTTTCCGATCAATTATAAATTGTAGCCCACAGAATCTTTTGCCCTTCTATTTCACGTTGCTTCGTCTTCTGCTCGGTTTGTCAACCATTTGAACCTAATCTGTCTTCTGTTCCAAGGTATAGGTTGTTTGGTTTACCGTTCTTGTTTCCCTCTGTAATTTGGATACAATTTCTTGTAATATTGACACTTGAGATCAATACCCAGAAGTCAAAATTAAGGGATCTGGTTGGGAAACTCGTCAAAGCCAAACCTGGAATGAACCTACCATTGATTTGTGCATGGGCCATCCCTTGGTGATGATCTTGATGAAGCCGTGTAGGCAAATTGTATTGTAATGCCAATCTCGGGAAGGTTTGTTTCATATCTCTTTCATCCGTTTTTGACATGCCCTTGGATTTCACAATTCACGCACTTTGTTTTCATCAGAACATCCTTCTCCCATTATCAGTGGGAACATTCTCACTGTGGGAGATCTTCAGCAAGGAGCTTTCTTGCAAGATCGATGTCAATCACAGGTTTCTACCTTCTTATTCTTCGTTTTAAGGACCCTTTGGTAGATGATTCTACAATTTCACAGGGAAGAATTTGACGCGGAAATGGTTCCGTACGGAGTGGTCGGAGATTTTCCACACGACCCGACATTGCCGCTGGTAAGAAAAGAAAACTCTCAGAGGAAACCGTGACCCAGACGTGGTTCCCGCTTTTGCAGTTGAGACCCAAAAGAAAACATATAAAAGGTATTATTGATTGTTTTGAGCAATTCATGGAACAAATATGTACACAAATTTGAAATTTCCAGAAAGAAAAAGAAGCAAAAATAAAAATAAAAATACAGAGTAGGACACTTCTATCAAATCTGAAAAAATAAAAGAGAGAGAAAGAGTCGACTACAAAATTGCACCCGTTTCCCCTACGTTTTCCACCTCTTTTCTTTGTGGTAAAACTTGACAGTGGTTTCTAAATTATAAAATTAAAAATATTAAGTAAATGAACTTTAAAATTATAAAATTGGATCTAAGTATATTTAAAAAAGGTGCAAAAACACGAAAACAGGATTAAATGGACACTTGCTCAATTGAAAAACTGATCAAATTCATTTTCTTTTTTTCTTTTTGGTTTAAAATGATAAAATATTATACCAGAAAGGCTTTGTTTTGGTGAAGGCAACAAGTAAGGAACCATTATGCACCAATGCAAGGGGAGGCACAGTGGGTGGTACTGGAGACTCTTCTGCAATGGTAATTTTGGAAGTTCATATTGTTGGTGTTGGTGTTGGTGTTGTTGTTGAGAGGATCAATGGCTAATTGCTTCTTCCTCTTCTTGTGGGCATCAAGTGGAAGTGGTTGGCTTTGTTTCTTGAGATCTTCCAGGCATTTCACATCTGAAATGCAAGCGAATGATCTTGCTTTTCCTGAGTAGTACCTTGACAATCCTCTCCTGTCACTCATCCGGCCAAACCAAATGTAAGTATATCAGACAACAACTCGACTCATTACAATATATATAATATACACACATATATATGCAAGGGTTTCAAGTTTGTTTACTTCTTGGGGAGGTTGTTCCTTAGCTCCCCCATGTCAAATGCCATCAACCCATTTCTGTTCTCCATCTTTTGGACAGATTGGAATCCTTGGGTGTTTTTTTTTGTTTTGTGTTTCAATCGTGGGTTTTCAGATTCAGGGGGAAAGAATGAAGCTTTTTATACAAGAAGGAGAGATAAGAAAAGAGATGGTACATAAATTTCAGGTCCTAGTGATGGAGATGGTGAATCTGGACATCTCCAACCAGTGGCTAATTTAAGGTTTTTCTATTCTTGTTTTTGGTCCTCTTTTGTTCTGCAGAAAGAGGAAACCCGCAGAATCTGCAAACCCAAATCTTTTGGCTATAAGCCTCTAAGATCTCTGGTCCGACCACTTGGTATTGCACCTTAGGAACCCCAAGTTTGTAAATTTTGTGGTGGTGAATTTAGGATCATAACATATCCATTATGCATATACATGGGTTTTGCTCTGGCGTTTACAAGTGTATTGTGGTGTGTGTACACAGACACACACACAGGCAGACATACATATATATGCACACACCCCTTTTTCTATATTTCACAATGAGCACATGAATATCATAACTTTCACCAAGTAATGCCATGAGAAGAGGAAGAGGAGACAGAGATCCTATAGCTCAAGAATTTTGAGTGATATTCTGTGATGTTTGCTTTGAAGATGTTTTCAAACAAGCATTGCAATGCCATTCTCTTTCCGACATATTATTAGTTCAGATAACTCAACATCCTATCGTATTTTGATCTCTTGAACTTCTTGCTTTAGCTTATTGAGTCTGAAAGTTGAAATCTTTGGGCAAAACTAACGTTTTTTTCCCCTCCTGAAAGTACATGAAGATTCACATACAATTTCAACGTGTTGTTGTAACCTACGGAAACCACAGGAGAGAGAGGATGCGTAGATAGATACATCAGCTTTAGTTAGTATACACATATATCCACCCACAAAAATTACACGACAAGACACAGTCAGACATCACACTGATATACAGACCATGACAAAACAAAAAAAACAAATACAAAGAGCAACAACACCTTGAAACTCTTACTCTAATCTCTCTCCGTTCAAATTCATTTGGATGCATTTCAAGAACTTATTTCCAGCTTTTCTTTGTGTTTATCTTCCGTTCAGGTTGGCAAACTGAGTAAACATGGCGGTTCCAGAGTGTTCGTCCACGGCCTGAACCTCGCCCGGCCCACGGTTCTCTTCCGGCTGAGAAACCGAACTACGGTCATTGGCCGAAGAGGGAGTGGTCGGAGCCACCACCGGAGATAGTGGAGCCGCTGGCTCAGGGCCATGGCCAGAGCCAGGGCTTTCTCCCACGGGCTTAGCATTCTCGTTCTCCTCGGCTTTGCCCTGCGAGAACGCTTCCTGAAGCTGCAGAGCGTATTCCAAGTTCCAAAGCACGTCTCCCATTGAAGGCCTGTCGACACCATAGTCAGCCAAACACTTCTCTGCCGCCTCGGCGAACTTCTTCATCGACTCGGGGTTTACCGTGCCTGCCAGATTCGGGTCGATGACCTTCTCGAGCATCCCTTTTCGTTTCCACTGCATCGCCCACTCGGCCAGGTTGACTTGTTCCCTCGGCAACTGTGGGTTAATGGCTGGTCTCGCACAAAGAGCCTCCAGAAGAACAACACCGAAGGAATATACGTCTGATTTATCAGTGAGTTGCTGTCTCCTGAAGTATTCTGGGTCCAGATACCCGAAACTTCCCTTCACGGCCGTGCTCACGTGGTTTTGTCCAAAGCCCACATCTTTGGATAAACCAAAGTCCGCAACTTTGGCCACAAATGCATCATCGAGGAGGATATTGGTGGTCTTCACGTCACGGTGGATGATCCCCTGAGCCGTCCCTGTGTGCAGGTAGTGAAGTCCACGCGCTGCTCCGATACAGATTTCAAGCCGTTGTTTCCAAGACAGAGGAGGTAGGTTCTTTCCATAAATATGGTCTCTGAATGGACCATTGGACATATATTCGTAGACGAGGATCATTTCCGAGTTCTCGTCACAGTACCCGATCAAGGACACTAAGTGTCTGTGTCTGAGCTTGGACAGCATCTGAATCTCTGTTTGAAACTCGTTAATACCTTGTTCCGATTGTGGGTTACCTCGTTTCACGGCAACCTTTGTTCCATCATCAATGGTTCCAATATATACATTCCCGAATCCGCCGACACCTATGATTTGGGATGCATCAAAGTTCTTGGTTGCTTCCTGAAGCTCAGCGAGGGAGAAATAACGGCCAAGGCCGAGCGTGGAGTTGTAGAAGTTGGATTTTTGAGAACCGGCCTTGCTTGTCATGAATGTGCTGTCACCGGCATGGATGGGTAGGAGCCAAGAAGAGAAGCTGTTCCTCTTCTGCCAATCCTGTGGTCTCTTCTTCCATCTGTACACCATAGCTCCGAGCCCTATGAAAGCTCCGAACATCATTACAAACCCTGCAGTCGCGACCATGCCGTGCTTCCCCATGCCCACTGTCCTACCATCCACTCCGAACTCACCGTCAAGGCTGTTCACAGAATTGCTCATTTTCAGGACCTCAACCCCGTTCAAGACCGCGTTCTTGGTCCCTGTATCCTCTCCCATGGGACCGATTTGGACCTGGAGCTGGGGACCCATCAGAGTCGAGTTCACGACAATGTCTTTGAAGTAAGGTGTTGCTAGACCGCCAGTGAGAGAGGACAAGTCTAGACCAGAAATGGCCGTCTTGCCATTGATGTAGACATTGAAGTACAGATCATTCATCGACTTGCTGACGATATCGCAGAAATGAAGCCGGACAAAGTAGTTAAATGAAGGGTTGGAAGGGAAGTTCCAGGTGACGTTGAAGTTAGGGTTAATGGTGTGAGCATCAGCCATCTCTGCAGCTGTTGCGTAAACAGTCTGCGGCGCAATAAGAGGGGTTACTCCCTCAGGGTACTTGATGGCCGAGGTGGTCGTTTTCACATCATTGGCCAGATTTGGATCTTGCAAGTATTCCTTATCGGTTTTCCATGTTCTTCCTAGCGTATCGTTCTGAGGCGTGATCAAGGGACCACCAACGTTAATCCTGTAAACAGACTGGTAGGCATAACCGGATAGGCCCGAGAAATCGTTAACCGGGAAAAGGGCAGTGCCCGAATCGGGAATCAGTTCATCCGGGGCCGAGACAACTTCGATAGCGTTGATGAAAGCGGCGGAATTCTTCATAGGATTGAACCTAAGGGAGAATTGAGAATCTGTAATGTTGAGGAGGTACTCGTGAAGAACGGGTTGGCTATTGTTGTTGTTACTGAATTTGAAGTTATGAAGCAACACATATTTCTCCGTCAAGACAGAGAAAGTTGCTTGTTGGAGATCGAACTTGTCGTTAGGGAAGGCAAAGAAATGGAGGCGAACCCAATGCCAACCGTTTTGGATCAGATGGAACTTGTAAGTGGCTTCTTCTTGAAAGATCCTCGCGGTTAGGTAGACAGGAGACGAAATGCTGTCTGAAGGAGGAGTCGAGACCTGAACATCGTCCTTGGCTTCAATGTATTGAGCCGTTTCCGGGTCACTCTTGAAGACTCTCCCGTCAGGGGTTTTGGCCGATGACTTCGACCCACAATCGATGAGAATTTCGTCGATCGGCTTGAACAAGGCCTGGAGAGGGCCACCGGCTGCAACCGTAGAGACGATGGCCTCCGAGAAGAGGAGGAGGAAAGTCAGGAGAATAGCCATGAAAGGCCACATGGAAGAATCAAGGAGGAATTTCGTCGTGGGTATGTTCGGTTTTTTTCCTGTCTCCATCCCTCCTTGGGTGGAGGGGAGAGAGAAAGAGAGACAAAGAAATGGCGAGTTGGTTGGATTTCTTGTGGTTGAAGAAAAGAGGGAGAAAACAGAAGGGTCATGAATGGGCGATTCCTTTTTGTTGTTTTTTTGCCTTGTTATGTTAGGTTCCGTTAAACTTAATTTGAGGAAAGAAATTGATTACAAATCCGGTGGTTTTATTTTTAGCAATTTGCTAAAATGGGTTAATTGGCAATTCCGACATAATAAGCCAAAATAACCTCATTCGATTCTTGTTCCCCATTTGAAGGGAAGTGAAGAACACTAGACTAGCTAGGACTGTCTCGCAATCCACCCACACACCCATCACCGAACGGAAGTGCATGATTGCATAACTGAAAATTCATCAAAGGAAACAAATCCACAGGCCAATCCAGAATCCCATATTTATACAAAGGAGCAAAGATTTGTAGGAAATTGAAAAAACAACCCCAAACTTCACTGATAAACAACATCGACCCAAACATGGACGCACAATTTTATTCTCCACAGGAAAAAAAAAACAAACAAACAAAGAGATCGACTGAGAAGACGCACTAAAATGTGTTCATTTCACGTTGTCGTTGTGGTGGCCAGGGAGTTTTTCCTTGATCTTCTCCAACAGTCCCTTCTTCTCGTGGCCGGACACGCCGGTGGTGGCACTTGGAACTTCCACGTGTCCTTCCCTGTGCTCCTTATGCTTGCTGCCGCCTATTTTCTCCTTTATTTTCTCCTTCAAACCCTTCTTCTTTCTCCTCCCTCCTTGTCCATCATCCTCCGATGACGACTGTATATGCATGTCCATGCAAAAATCAGTTTTTGGAAACATATACACACGAGAGAGATTACACTTTACCATGTACAAATGTGTACACCACATAAACCAAACCAATCCGGAGTAAACTGGATGCAGTATACATGCGTATAAATACCTGTACCAGAACATCTATAGACGTGTATAACTAACTATGTGCACATATACAAAGATAGTCGGAGAATCTCACCGAGCTAGAGCTGGATGAACTAGGCGACCGAGGAAGCTGTTCCACGGCACCGCCGCCCTCACCGACATGCGGCTGCGGCTCAACGACGGGAGCCGGGGGCGGGGCTTCGACCGAGGGGACGTCCTTGTGGGGAGCGGTGGAGGTGGCCACGCCGGTTAGGTGCATGGGGTTTCCGAACTCGTCCGTCAGCTGAACCGGGTTCCCGTGTTCGTCCGTCAGCCTTATCGGATTCCCGTGTTCGTCTCTCAGATCCGCCATTATTAAGTCCGTGATTTTCCCGATGGGTTTCGTCGATTTATGGGAGATAAGTTTTAGTAGCACCACCGCTATTTAACGCCGCACGCATAAAGATGGAAATCCAGTGTGTTCTCTCCTGCATGGTTAGTTACACGTGGCATGATTGGAGATTCAAGAATTTGCCACGCACGTTTAGGGAAGACACGTATGGTTCGATATACACATATATACACCGATAATCTAATTATCCAGCAAAAGGAGATTACGCTTTCTCCGGGAGATGAACTTTCTTAGAGGTTGTGTATGTGTGTACCAAAGCTGGACCGCCGAAATAGAGCATTCAAAAACCATAATATATGCGAAGTGACAACAAATTAAATATATGCGGAAAAGAATTAAGCGGGTTGGTACATAAAAAGAGTTCAATACAAAACCATACACCCACTTCCATCAAATTCCAATTAAAACCAATTCAGTCCAGTCCCCTTGGACGCATCCAAGCCTTAATAATCTTTGTAAGGGCTTTACGGTCTCCCCTACGTTGCTGTTAATGTTGTTCTCCAACCTTCTATATAATCTATACACGTGTGGAAATATGGAAAACAAGAAAAAGGGGGGGGGGGAACAGAGGAAATTGGTGAAGACAAACTCTGTCGAGAAGATCTCCAAGATGCTTAAACAGACAGGAGCCGACAAGAGGATGTGTTTGATGATCGGTTACACTATGCAACTTTTGGCCACCGTTTTACGGCTTGAGGAGAGAACAGCACCCTATAATAATCTGAAACAATAACAACAATCACAAGGTTTTTATTCGTGCTCTGATGGTATAACCTAAGGCCAGAGTCATAAGACCTGAGATTTCGGAATATCACAAGCCTGCCCGGGCTCGGTCTGGTTAGCTTTGGGTTTAGCTATAACATCATCTGTCTTTGCCATTCCCGGCTTTAGTTAGAGTTTGACCGTTTGGTTTCAAAGCAGTTCTAGGGTAAGAGTTCCAAACTACATGGATTGGATATGAAAACATAACTCAGACCCACATGAGAGAAATTTGTTGAGAGAGGGAGAGAGATGCTTACAAGTTTCATGTTTTGCTGGATTTGGTCCAGAAAAAGCCTTTCTTTCTCCCAGGATGACTATCTTTCGGGGCTTTCCCGCTCCCTCTGGATCCGAAAGAGAAGTGACGTGCCAGGAAGGGCCTCGGGGAATAGCTTTTCACGCTTGAACTCGAGATCAGCTTGGGGCTATTCCCTTTCAGTCCAGGGCCACCCATTGTGTGATCAAACATTACGAGATCATCACGGTCAAAGTCACTGTCCATAACGCGATTCCTCAGTCTCTTGTTGTATCTAGCTTTCAAATCCATCTCTGCCCTCAAAGCCTTATCTGACAGCTTGAGCGTTTTCTTCTCGCCCAAGGTACATATTGGACATGGAGGGTCGAATTTGTCGATTTCTGGTGTCATATGCTCTAAACATTCAGCATGATAGGCATGACCACAAGCTAGAACAGCCACAACTGATAACTCGCTTGTAGTTATGATCTTTTGGCTGCTCCACAAGGATTTCTCTGTCAAGGGTCTAGAGCAAGCACCACAAGTTTGTTGATCATTGGACGTCCGGTTGCCATGACGGTCTATTTTATCACGCCGGAGGCCAAAGGAATCATTATCATAAGACATAGACTCTCTCTGGGAAAGCGACATCAGCTCAGAAAAGGCATGCATGGACCAACTGTCGGAAGGCCCACGCCGGGAATTGTTGCTCCAACAAATTCCTCGCCTCTCGGAGTATCTGCTTGGAGATTTCACTCCACAAATCTGGCCATCTGATACTTGCTTTGATAGATGAGGCCGGTGTGCAAACTTTGGGGTGGATGAGCTTGCAGGTTGCAAATTGCTCTGGGATGACAGCGGTGATGTGGAGAAGGATGATGGTTGAGAAGCCAATGAAAGAGAGAATTTTGGGGGAGATGGATGAGACGGTGCTGAAGATTCTATTGAATCCCTATTTGTCTCTACAATCTGCAAAAGAAAGGTCAATCATAATAGATTAATGCCTCGAATCGTTCGAAAAATTTAGTGCAAACTGGAACAAGCTTTACCTGCTCTGAAACAACATCCAAAGAAGCAGTTCTCCGGAAAGATAAATCTGCTACCGTATGTATAAATAACACAACAATGGAAATGACATTGTTAAGGATAGTGAAACAAAGTTCAATAAAGAAAGCTGGAAAAAAAAAACAAGAGAAACAATTTCAGCAAATAAAACCAACACCCTTTTTGCTCAGCAAAACCAGAATACAAAGTGGATTGGGTAGTAAAATGTGCGTTGAAGTGCTAAGTTCCTATTCTTAAAGTCCTAACTCCCCAGTGCCTATTCTACCAATCTCAAGACATACCTCTCAGAAGTTCCAAGAAAGCCTACGATCCCCACAGGCCCTGAACAGGCCTTGCGGTTAACCAAAAAAGAAATGCATCATCGTGCTAGCAACATTAAAGACTTTTACCTGACTGGGGAGATTTCTGCCATGCCTGTGCCCTGAAGCTGTCTAAGGGGGAGCCTTCTGATGATACAAACTCAGACCCAAATTTGACATCAGAACCATAATTCCGACTAAGCCCATCGGACAACCAACTCACAGAGGTCTCTTCACCAGCTACTCTTCCTCTATTATCCCACCGGAAACTCCAAGTCGGAGAATACTGGACACTGTTTCTTTGCAAGTTCTCGCCCTCTGATCTATTGGGTACGATCATTTTGTCTCTAGCAGCAACACAACAAGCCGACCCCATAGTGAATTCGCAACTACTAAGCACCACCAAAGACGATCTGTCTAACTTCCTTGGTGCATAGAAGCTCAATAAAGCACCACACGCAGCTACTCCTTCCTGGCTAAAATCTTCCCTGGCAACAAAAACCCAAATCAAATCAGAATCCAGGAACTGAATTAGCATCAATTAGAGAATTACTACCAGAAATCCTTAGAGAATTACAAGGGTTCCCATCGGTAGATCGGAACAGAACAGCCAATAGAACCTGGAATGGAAACCGAAACAATCAAACAATGACAATCGAACAAACTCGAATGCATGCCCACACTCAACGTAAAATACATAGCTAAGGAGCAGAACGAACAAAAGTTTCTTTGCTTTACTATAACGCGACGAAGAAGAAATGTAATAACTTACCAGACAGCCACCAACTACGCTAACTTTGAAATGGTAAGACGAAGCAAACAGTTAAAAGAAACAGAAATTACGCGCTAATAGGAAAAATCGATAAAGATTTTCGGAAAACAACAAGAGAATGACATCGATTAGTCCGCTGCTCTCTAGGTCACTGAACTGTCATGACTATCTTCACTACAAGAATCCCAACATAATTGAATCGGGAATAACCATCAGATCCCAGATTATAGCCGGGAATCCTACAGGTCATATTGACATTACCAAAAATAGAAACAAAAACCCTAAAATCGACATGGAAAAATCCGGAAGAAAATACGAAATATCAACAATCCAGATGATGCGAGGAGAGTCACAAACATCGAACCTGCTTCCGGAAGTCCCGAAACGTCGCTGGAGGCAGGGAGAGAGAGAAAGTTTCACATATAAACGTAGAGAGAGAGAGAGAACGCGGAGGGTTTGTAGAGTGAAAGGGAAAGAGCAATGAACACTGCGAACTTTGCTTTGTTCT